CCGACCCTTTTCAAGGGGGGGGGGGGGGCTTCCGAAGCTACCCCCCTTCCCCTCCTTCTGTTGGCTTGTCGAGCTGGAGGGCCCTGGCTGAAGAGGGGATTCGAAGCTACTTTTCGCTTTTGGTTTTCGGCGCCCCATTGGTTTGCGGCGTACTTGTGGTCTTGGGCGCTCCTTTGGTTTTCGACGCCTTTTTTGGTTTTCTGCGCCCTCTAGGGTTCTGGTGCCCCTTTGGTTTTCGGCGCCCTCTTGGTTTTCGGCGTCCTTCTGATATTCGGCGCCCCTTTCGTTTTCGGCGCCCCTTTTGGTTTGGGCGCCCTTCGGCCTTCGGCGCGCCTCTGGTTGTTGGCGCCTTTTGGTTTTCGACGCCCTTTTGGTTATCGGCGCGTCTTTGGTTTGTCGGCGCCCTTTTGGCTTTCGGTGCATCAATTGTTTTCGGCGTTCGTTTGGTTTTCGGCGCCTCGTTGGTTTTCGGCGCCCCTTTGCTTTTCGGCGCTCCTGCGGTCGGTTTTTTGGCGCTCCTTGGGTTTACGGCGCCCTTCTCTTTCGGCGCCCTTTCAGTTTTCGGCCCCCCCCTGATTTTTGGCTCTCCTTTGGTGGTTTTCGGTGCTCCTTAGTTTTCGGCGCCCTTTTGGTTTTCGGCGCCGTTTCTGGTTTCCAGCGCGTCTTTGGTTTTTGGCGCGACTTCTTGTGTTCGACACTTTTTGGCTTTCGTCCTCCCTTCGGTTTTCTGCGCCCCCTTTGTTTTCGGCGCTCCTGTGGTTTTCGGCGTTCTTTCGGTTTTTGGCGCTCCTTTGATTCTCGGCGCCCTTGTGGTTGTCTGCGCCCCTTTGGTTTTCGGCGCTCCTTTGGTTTTTCGGCGCCGTTTTGGTCTTCGGTGCCCTTTTGGTTTTCGGCGCTCTTTTGGTTTTCGGCACCGTTTAGGTTTTCGGTGCCGTTTTGGTGTGTCGCGGCCCTTCGTTGTCGTCTCCTTCTTGGTTTTCGGTGCTCCTTTGGTTTCCGGCTTCCTTTCAGCTTCGGCGACCCTTTGGTTTTTTGCGCCCTTGGGGAAATCGGTGCTTTTTGGTTTTCGGCGCCTTTGGCGCCGCTCTGGTTTTACGCGCTCTTTCGGTTACCGGCCGTCTTTAGTTTTCTGCGCCCCGCTGGTTTTCGGAGCTTTTTTGTGTTTTCGGCGGCTCTTGGTTTTCGGCGTTTGTCATGTTTTCGGTTCCTTCTGGTTTTTGGCGCCCTTTCTCTTTTCGGCGCTGTTTTAGTTTTCCGCGCTCCTTTGGTTTTCGGATCGATTTTGGTTCCCGACGACGTTGAGCCTTTTTGTGTTTTCGGCGCCTCTTTGGTTTTCGGCGTTTGTTATGTTTTCGGTTTCTTTTGGTTTTTGGTGCCCCTTTTCTTTTCGGTGCTGTTTTGGTTTTCCGCGCTCCTTATGGTTTTCGGATCGATTTTGGTTCCCGACGACGTTCTGGTTTTCGGCGCACCTTTGGTTTTCGGCGCTCCTTCGGTTTTCGGCGCCCCTTTCCTTTTCGGCGCTGTTTTGGTGTTCGGCGCCCTTTTGGTTTCTGGCGCCATGTCTGGCTCAGCTTTGGTTTTCGGCGCCCGCTGGTATTCGCACCCGGGCCGAACGCCGATCTATCGGCGACGCGTCGCCGATTCCAGCCCGCTTCCTGGGACTTGACTTTGGCCTCTTGGGGGCTCCCTGGGGCTCGTGGGTGCCCTCTTGGGGGCCCGGTGGTGGTCTCCGGGGGCCTCTCGGCCGGCCGGTCGGCTGCCGGATGGCGCGACGCGCAGCAACCCCGCGGGGCGAGGGGAGGGCGAGCCCGACGCTGCCGGTGCGGCAGCCCGCCCACGGCGGCGCTGCCAGCCCCCAGGACCGCCTCCTCCCTTTGGGCGCGCTCGCCGCCGCCGCCAGCGCCAGCGCCGCCGCCGCCGCCGCCACCGCCGCCGCCGCCGCCGCCGTCGTCGTCGTCGTTGTTGTCGTCGCCGCCGCCGCCGCCGACGCCGCCGCCGCCGTCGTCGTCGTCGTCGTCGTCGTCGTCGTCGTCGTCGTCGTCGTTGTCGCCACCGCCGCCGTTGCCGTCGCCGTGGGAGGGGGAGGGGGATGAGGATGGGATGGGGAGGAGAGTGCGTCCGTGTGTGTGTGTGTGTGTGCGTCTCTCTCTCTCTCTCTCTCTCTGCGTGCACCCCTAGCTCCTGTCCCACGTGCTCCCTGCTCGCGGCTTGGGCGTGCGCGCTCGGGCCGCTCCCCGCCAGGGCTCCGTCTCCAACCGCTCCGCTGCTTCGCCTCGCGGCGTTCCCGCGGCTCCCGCCCCCTGACCCTCCTCTTCCTCCTCCTCCTCTTCCTCTTCCTCACGACGCCGACGGCGACGACGACGACGACGACGGCGACGGCGACAGCGACGACGACGACGATGCCGACGCCGATGCCGACGCCGACGACGACGACGCCTCGGCATCGGCTCGCCGGCCGCCTGCCCTCGCCGAGCGCCCCTCGGCCTCCGCCGCCCCTCGGCCGCCGTCGCCGCCCGGCGCCCTCGCTGCGCGCGGCGGCTCTCCCTCCGTTGTTTTGGGAGTGGCTTCTCTGCCGCCCCGCGCGGTCGGCCTCGGCGCGCGAGGTCGACACGGGCGCGGGTGGGCCAGGAGGAGGAGGAGGAGGAGGAGGAGGAGGAGGAGGAGGAGGAGGAGGAGGAGGAGAAAGAGGAGAAAGAGGAGGAGGAGGCGGAGGCGGAGGAGCAAGGATGATGATGATGATGATGATGGTGATGATGATGATGATGATGATGATGATATATGATGATGATGATGATGATGATGATGATGAGGATGATGATGATGATGATGCTGCTGATGATGATGCTGATGATGATGCTGCTGATGATGATGGTGATGCTGCTGATGATGATGATGATGATGATGATTCTGATGATGATGGTGATGATGATGCTGATGATGATGATGATGGTGATGCTGCTGATGATGATGCTGATGATGATGATTATGATGATGATGCTGATGATGCTGATGATGATGCTGATGGTAATTCTGATGCTGCTGATGATGATGCTGATGATGATGATGATTATGATGATGATGATGATGATGATGGTGGTGAGTGGTGGTGATGATGATGATGATGATGATGGTGATGAATGATGATGATGTGATGATGATGATGATGATGCTGAGATGATGTGATGATGATGATGATGACGATGATGATGATGATGATGATGATGATGCTGATGATGATGATGATGATGATGAGATGATGATGATGAGGATGATTGATGACGAGATGATGATGTGATGATGATGATGATGTGATGATGATGATGATGATGATGATGATGATGATGATGATGATGCTGCGCTGCTGTGCTAGCTGATGATGAGATGATGATGATGGATTGGATGATGATGATGGATGATGATGATGATGATGATTGATGCTGATTGAGGATGATGATGATGATGATGATGATTGGGATGATTGATGATGATTGATTGAGGATGGCGATGAGGATGAGGAGGAGCGAGGAGGAGGAGGAGGAGAAGGAGGAGAGAGGAGGAGGAGAGGAGGAGGAGGAGGAGGAGGGAGGAGAGGATGAGGAGCGGATTAGGCATGAGGACGAGGGATGAGGAGGAGAGGAGGAGAGGAGGAGGAGGAGGAGGGAGGAGGAACAAGAGCATGGAGCAAGGAGGTGAAGGATGAGCGAGGATGAGGGAGGAGGAGGAAAGGGAGGAGGAGGATGAGGAGAGGAGGAGGAGGAGGAGGAGGGGGAGGAGGATGAGGAGGAGGAGGAAAGGGAGGAGGAGGATGAGGAGAGGGAGGAGGAGGAGGAGGAGGGGGAGGAGGAAGGGAGACGAATCGAAGGTGGAAGAGCGGAGAAGGAGGAGGAGATGGAGGAAGGAGGAAGGAGGAGGACGAGGAAGAGGAAGAGGAAGAGGAAGAGGAAGAGCCAGCTTCGGGAGAGGATATGGTCGTGCGGGGTCTGGGTGGCTGATGTCCCCTCCAGGGACAACGAGCAAAGCAGCTATGCCGCCCCGATGCGAGTGTGTTGTTGTTCGGGAGCGCAGTTTCATGGCCCTATCCCCCCCCCCTCTCCCGAACAGAGAGATAAGCGCCTACAGCTCCCCATGCGCGAGCTGTCCGGGCAGCTGAGCCCATACCTGCCGACCAGGCAGCCAGCCGACGGCCTAGGCGGCACTGTTCCGCCCGCGGTCGTCGCTGGTGCTTTTTGGGGTGGGGGCGTTGGTCAAGACGAGGGATTGCGTTGGTTATGACGAGGGGGGAGAGGGGAGGGGGGCAAGCCAGCCGCGCTCGCGTCACATCTGGCGTTCTGGCATTGCGCCCCTCCCCCCATCCCTTCCGTTGCGTTGATTCCTTCTCTGTCCGCCGACTGGGTGTCCCAGAGGACCTTAATCCTTTACTGGTAATTAGTTGGAGGATTGGACCCAGTGTTCGTTGAGCAATCAGAGACGTTGGCTTGCCTTTTTAAGGTCGAGGGGGAGCAGGTGTATATGAACAGTGATAATGGCAGTTATCATGTTTCGTAGAGTCGTAGAACTACTCGTGCATTAGATGCATGTTCACACGCACACATCGATCTCGATTTCTAGTTCTACATATTATTGTAATCATTCTGTTGGATGTATAGGTGTACGCACACGTATGAGCGTATACGTGTACGTACAACCTGAGTATACGTAACGTATGCGTGTGGGTATGTATATATTTGCGCAACTGTGTGTGCACATATAGATATCTACATATATTTAGATTTGTATGCATTCAGATGCAAGTATGTCTGCTTATGTACGTGCATGCGTATGTATTCATTGTCCATATAAAGGTATAACAGTCGACGCGGTACGCATCATTATACATGCAGGCATACGTAATGCATACTCAAAGGTAAACGGAGTAGTAGCAGGCCGAGCGGGAGGCGACTGATGGCGATGGTAACGATGTTATTGACGATTATGCTAATGCTGTCGACGACGATGACGGCGATTAGGATGGTGTTGGTGGGGTTGATGAGGAAGTACCCGCGCGCACAGAACGTCTGAATTCTTGACGCTTCGCGTATTCCTACCAGCGTCCCCTTCTTCCTGTCCGACATTTCCCCCGTTCGCCGATTGACCGGCACTTGACAGGTGACGTCGACTTCCCGAAGTGGACCTGCGTCGGGTCGCCGACGAGCACAGGGTGCTATGTGAGTGAGTCCGCCTCTTTCAGTTTGCTCTTTTCGTCCCCCCCCCGTCCTCCTGTTTTGTGCAGGGATGCGCCTACCGGCTCTATTTCTGGTTTGCTGTTGTTAGGACAGTCGGTCGAATGTTCTGGCCTGGTCCCAGCGTCCTGCTCTGCATGTTGCACGTGGGTGGCGCCCTCTTGGCGGCCTCTACCGTCCGTGGCCTGGCCCGTCTAATTATCTGGCTTCGCGCCTCCTTTTCCTGCGAATTTGTTTTGGGCAGTGTCTGCCCTCGCCGTTCCGGTCGGCTGTTGTTAGGACAGTCAGTCAATGTTCTGACCTGGTCTCGCCGCGTTTCTTGCATGTTGAGTGTGGGTTGGCGCCCTCTCGGCGGCTCCCCCTGTCGTGGCCGGCCTTCACTAATTATCTGGCATTGCGCCCCATTGCCCATTGACACGCCCTCTGGACTTTTCCTTGCGGGCCGCCGAACAAAACAAATATTCCTACCAGCCCCCGCTTGCCCCGCGTTCGATCCGCTTCGCCCGCCCGCGTGCCAAAACAAATATCCCCACCAACCCATCCAGAAACAGATCGCAAGACGAGTTGCCCTGATCAGGGAAGTGTAGAACCATGCAGTGTACCAACCGCCATGGAAGTGCTTTCTCGGAGGTTTCTTGGGGCCATTTTGGGTCTCTCTTGGGGTCCTCGCGGAGCCACGTGGGGCACTCTTGGGGCCCTTTTGAGGTTCTTTTGGGGGGTCTAGGGGCCCTCTTGGGGCTCTTTGAAGGGGGGTCTTTTGGGGCATTTTGGGGGAGTGCTGGGCCCCACTGTTCAACAAGAGGGGGGTCCTACATTCAGCTCCCCTCCCCATCGGAGGCACGCACATGGCGTTTTGGTGTCGTCTCGTGGCGCTCTTGGGGCGCTCTTGGGCGCTCTTGGGGCCGTCTTGTGTCCCTCTTGGGCCCCTCCTGGTGCTCTGTCGGGCCGTCTTGGGGCCATCTTGAGGCCTCAAGGGCCCATCGGAGGCGAAAGCGCGAGACGGCACTTAGGTTCTGGAGCCATTTTGCATTTTGGCTTCTTGGGGCCTTCCTTTGGCGGCTCGAAGGGCACTTGAACCCGTGTTGAGGCCGTCGTGGAGCCTCTTGGAGATATGCCGGGAACTATTTTGAGCCATGTTCGATTATCTTGGGCCGTGTTGGATGCCATCTTGGACTCCCCGAGGCCCTCCTGGAGCCATCTTGGGCCATCTTGTACGCTCCAACCCCTCGCGGGCGCCCTGGTCAGACCCAGGTGAAGGGGCAGGTCGAGGGGTACTCCCCTCCCCCGAGCAGGGGAAGGGTGGATTTGGGGCGGCGAGACGGCGAACTCTGGTAAGCCAGCTACGTCAAGAGGACTGGTGGGATTGTGGACGCACTCAACCTGGAAGCCCGGTATCAATCTGAGGTTGAACGTCTCTGAAGCGCACTGCCCAGGAGCCTGATGCCTTTGGGAACAGTCTGATGTGCGCGCGGAAATGAGGGCCGTGTAGCCTGCATGGTCTTATCTGGCACAGTTGGTGGGCGCCTGAAGGAGGAGGAGGAGGAGGAGGAGGAGGAGGAGGAGGAGGAGGAGGAGGAAGAGGAGGAGGAGGAGGAGGAGGAGGAGGAGGAGGAGGAGGAGGAGGAGGATTGTGGAATGGTTGTTCCAACCCTCCTGTGGTGCTGGGTCTTCGTTTTGACTACGCAGCGCCCTACGTCACTCCTCACCTCCCCCTCCTCCCTCCTCCCGTCCCGCGTTTTCATCGTCCTCGCCATCAACATCGTCATCGTTTTTTCTTGTCATCTTCGTACCCAGGCAGCCACGCCGATGTCGGCACACCCCTCACACGTTTCGTGATCCTGTAGGGAGCTCCATCGAAGGGCCTAGTAGCAGCGCCCGCGGCGTCACCCCGCCCATTTTGGCACAGCCCTCACACGTTTCGTGGCCCCACCGAAGGCACCAGTGGCAGCGTCCGCAAGGCATCACCCCGCCCATTTCGGTCACCCTTCAGACGTTTCGCGACCACGCAGGGAACCCCACCGAAGGCTCCAGCGGCAGCGCCCGCATGGCGCCACCCCGCCCATTCCGACACACCCCTCACACGGCTCGTGGCTCCACAAGGAGCCCCACCGAAGGCCTCATTGGCACCGCCCGCATGGCGTTATCCCGCCCATTTCGGGTCACCTCTCGCGCGTTTCGTGACCTCACAAGGAGCTCCACCGAGTGCCCCAATGGCAGCGCCCGCATGGCGTCACACCGCTCGTTTCGGGAATCGCCTCGCGCGTTTCGTGACCCCACCTTT